GGGTTGACAATGACAGAGAGCCACCGACGATCCGAATCTGTCTGCTCGTGACAGTCTTGCATGAGATGAAACGCGTCAGAGTGTAATTCTATTGTCGAGTTGGCCACATTGCCCTCTATCGAGACATTGTTTCGCTCGTTTCGATTATTTCTTTGTAAACAAAAACAAAACATGAAGAAAAGAGACGAGAAGAATAAAGTGGTTGGTGAAAAGCATGATCTCGATATTTTCATTGTACTTTCTCTCGTTCCTTTTTTAACACTTTCATTAACCGTGCCGCAGTAAGGTATACGCGACTTTTAGAGAAGAATAAATGGGAAATGTTATTTTCGCATGTGCCTCGACCGTGTTTATAGACAAAATAATTAGAGCACAAGAGAAAGTGCAGAGATTATGTTTTCAGAGATGTTCACTTGAAATGTTTAAACAAAATTCCTGAGAAATCGTCGAATGGTTACAGGAATATATTGTATTTTCTAACCTAATAACGTACATTGAAACGGAAAAAAAAAGAAAGATTAAATCTGTTAATTATTTTTTATCAAATTTTACGTGTGCACAATCGCATGCACGTACCGGTATTTTCCCAGTAAACCGTTCGTTCTGCCAGAGGATTTCTCTTTTTACCGGCGTTCATCGGCGCAGGGCTGAGATAGCCATCTTTGGTATGTCTCCCTGAACGTAACGCGATTCTATCTCGCACACGATATCTCTGGCATTTTTTTCCTCTCGAACAGATTGACTCGTTATTACAACCGGTCCGGTTCGCGGATTTTTCTTCCCGCCTGACGCAACTCTTTCGACATATACCAGTCGTTTGCTTCGAAGCATCAGACAAAGATGCATCGTGGTCCACCGTAGCCCGCGAAACTAGGACACGTCCCCCCACCATTTCTTCAGAACCAGCCCGTTTCTTGTCCTATCCGCTCGCGGACTCGCGTAACATGACTTTGAAGATAATGAAGTTACGGCTATCGACCGATTTATACTCGTAAATTTCTTTTTTTATCGTCGATTTATGTTCATATGAAAATCATGTTTACGATAATTTAGTCAAGTTTCTATCGGATAGGTTATGTATCGAATTAACATGTACGAAACAGCATTGAAGATATTGTAGGAAGGATGCTGCGGTCTACTTTATCCTCGAACGATAAACAGATCGTTTTATTCTTGTTCGTAATGATACAAAGTAAATACGTTACGAAGCATACGTGACAGGAATAGAGATAAAAGTTTATTTAATTTGATGTGAAACATTGATCTATTGATTCGGTTGAATGAAAATGGGCAATCAGTGCTTCGTGTTCCATGTTTTCTCTTATCGTGATTAAATGAGATCCGTTTGTCTGAGGACAACCATCTTGCAAGGACAAAAAAGGAGGAAAGAAAGAGTGGGGAGAAGCGATGAGAGAAAGGTAGTTAAGAGTACGTATAGTATGATACGTAATTTCCTTACGGTTCTTCCAGAAATAATTCCATTACGAAATTCCTCTCACGAGATACTTTTTACGCCGCGTGAAATAGCTCTAATTTCAGGGCGGTTAACTTTTTTACAACGCCAGGCGAATTTGAATAGAAACGTCAAGATGAAAATCACCGGCAATTTCGATCAAATTTCGGCGAGTCAAACGCAGCGGTTTCATCACACCTCAAACTGCCTCGACGTTTGAATCTGCGTTGCGATGCAACAATGACCTCATGAATAATTTAACACGCGCCATTGTCTCATCGGTATGTACTAATAACATCACGTCAGTTGTAGCGTATCTGACACTGATTCACTTCGTGAATGCGTTTCTTCTTTATTTTCCATTCGTTCACCCGTGGCGGTTGTTTTTAAAAATTGTTAAACCCGGATGCAGCAGGATTTTTATCGATCTTGCAATATCGACACAGTGTAACAACAACGTGCACCATTTCTATACAAATTACAATTTCACGTTAGTTGAGATTAAAACGAATCTGCATACATAATTACGGATTCCTCTCTCTCTCTCTTTTTCTCTCTCCCTCTCGGTATGGCAATAAAGATTAACGAAATTTTCGCAAAATCACATAAAAGTAGAGACGCTAATCTTGCCATTATAAAAAAAACTACGTTTATTATAAAATCAAACATATTTTTAAGTAACAGACGTTCTCCTACTTAAAAAACGAGAATCATGGATTTATCCAATTAGTAATTCAATGAACTTCCGTCCCGTTCCGATAATCAGTATTAAACGAAACTTCAATAATATGTGATTAACTGCAATTTTCCTCGTACAAGGAAGAATGAATTTTTTTCATGCTACGGACGTAGATGTAACACGGAACTGATACTACAAAGGATCTATCGTCGATTAGCATTGCCAATTTACGATTGCAGGAAGAATGTTACGATAAAAAAGGAATGCAAAATTTAAAAAATTTGCCTGCATTGCTTTAGCATCGTCTGCGTCCTGTTCCGCTTCTCTCCCACGCCGCAATGGGCTTCTTGTTTCTCAATTTTAAACTTGAACCGAGTGACCTTCAACCTCGACCAACAAAAAACCGATTTCCGATATTTCCACTCGTATGTGTAACACAACACTTTTTCGTCACCGTATTAGCACAATTTCGCCGTAACAATTGGCGAGATTGATCGCGTCGGGACGTATCCTCACGTTGTAGAGCGTCTCTTGAACTGAATTTCTGACTGAGGCCCTGACTCTTTATGCCCACCTGGCTCTGGCAGGTGCTGCAGGTGGCACCACTGCTCGATCGCCTGTCTCCATCGGTCCCTTCTAAGCTGCTTACGAACTCGGACTCACTTATGCCAATTTGTTTTCGAAAAAAGTGGGCAAATTATTTTTTCGAACAACTAATAAACTAAAACTGTTTCTACATTTTTTTTTTAATTAATCGTGTAACAGAAAAGTATTAATAATTACGATCTGTTGACTTTTATTATAAATTTATTTACAAACATTATACACGATAGTTGGATAAAAATCGCTTTTCCGCTTCGCTAGATTTTACAAGTATTAAAAATGCCGGTGTCCCTCCACGTACTGTAAGTCTGAAAATTTTAATTATAAGGTTACTGGCAGTTTAAATTTCCTGCACTCTAATTATTGAACTTACCGCTCGTCCTGTAATATTTTCCCTAGCGAATGACCGACGTTCACCTTATGCACAGAACATTTATCTTTGCTCTCAAAATAAACATTTATATTCTGAAGAGTATAGCGTTTCTGTGAGTCCCACTCAGGTGGCTCATTAAATAGCTGTTCTAATTGTTTTATCAACCTGAATAAGCAAATTTATTAAATGAAATATTTTTCTATTTTTTTAAATAATTTTAAATGTATACATAATATAAAAGCATACAATGTATCCTCATGGAAATTTTGTATGAAGTCTGTTTGATGGGTTTCTGGATATAAAATCATGACTGGCCAAATAAGTTTATTTTGTGCATCAAGGTGAACCCTACTCTGTGCTATCTGTGGTACTTGAGGTTCTAAATCTTTCAAATCTGGATTTTTTCTTCCATCAATTAATTCTAGATTAATGCCTCTACTTTTTATTATATTTATTAATTCTTCTTCTTCCTTGTTTAATTTTTTTTCTAATCTATCTTGCTTTCTCTTATCTCTTTTCAAACGCTCCTATAAACATTAAAGTATTACTCACATCAAAGAAATACCTTTGTAAGTTTATAGAAGATTATATCTTACTCTAGCAGCTATTGCCTGTGACTTTAAGCTCAGTACTGTTTTATCAGTAGGAGACTTATCAAGCAATTGGTCACAAAGATCAATACATTGATCATAGTTTTTTACATGAAAACAAGAAGTGGCAGCCCTATTCAGAGCTTTTGTATAATTTGGTTTTAACTTCAGAGCAAACTTACAATCATTTAAACTTGATCTGTAATTTTTATAGAAAATTATCTTCACAAAATTGCAATAAAACAAACTAATGTATTTAATTTCACATTAAAATGTACCTATAATTTTTTAACATAAAATGTGCAGCAGCTCTGTTATTATAAAGTTGTGCCATCAAATCTTTATCTTTGCATTTAGTTCTTATACCTTCTGTATAACTCAAAATAGCTAATCTATACTTTTTATATTTATAGTTAAAATTTCCATCCTCTTTATAATTATATGCAAGTTCTACAAAGAAAAATATGCACATCTGAAACTATGGATATGTATGCAACATTTATGGATGGACTTTAACTTGAAAGTAATTAAACTGTAAGAATAAATTGCTTCAAACCCTCAGGTGTGTTTTCATCTTCTCCATATTTAAGTTGTTGCAACCCTTCCATCAAGGGAGAAAGTTCTTCTCCAGGTTCTGGTGCTTTTTTCATGAAGAATGGATGCTTTTCCATTTCCTCCTGCCACCGATCTTCTGGCCATCCCTCTGTGTAGCTTTTTCTCTCCAAATTACTGATATATTCATCCAGTTCAGCATCTAATTTCGTAGCAAGTTCTAATCGTTCTTCGTCAGTCCAAGTTTTGCGTTTGTCTTCACTTGTCTCTTCCATTGTTAGGCAATTTTTTAAATTAACTTCTTGTTTATACGAATCAAAAATGCGTATAAATATAAACGTCCGTTCAACAATTATTACTGGTATCAAATTATTGATTAGGCTACGTAAATTTTAACGAGAATAGGGATAAAAATAATTTAACTTTGTGTATTATAACCTCAAAAGTTACACGTGATATTTTTATCATTTCTCAATTTCATAATATTACCGACAGAGTACAACTTCTCCGCTTCTCCTAATGATGGCGCTATTTGTACTACCACAAGAGTTTAAAAAAAAAAAATTAACACGATTACACCCTACTTTTTCATCATTTCTTATGTTAAACATTTCTGAATTACCTCAAAGTATTTTATAAAAAAAAAAATACGCGGGTAAAAAGACTAAATTGATTTTAAAAATAAAAAATTTCACTCATTTAAAAATTAAAAACTCAAGTAACACGTTCGATAAAATAGAATGCATGTAAAACCTTTGCACTTTTAGAAAGCTAAAATGATTTCAAAGTATAATAAACGAGAGAAGTGCTCCTTTCTCGAATGCATAATACCAGAATAATTAGGATTACTCATTAAACGTTCCTCACTTCTTTCAAAGAAAACAAGAAATAACGCAACACGAACGTAAGGATCATTCCTGAGAATACGATTCTTAGTTTCGAATTGGTTCATCGGTAGTCGAAAAAAGAGGGGCGGGTAATCCTACAATAAAATCCGTATTGAAAGTTAGGGATGAGAAAAGCCAGACGAGATACGTCGATCGGGTAGTAGGGGTGGTTAAGGTTCGGACGTTTACGCAAACATTCGGGTTTTGGCCCCTTTGTGTTCGGCTAGGCAAGATGGCGCTCGGTGAAAGCTGGTCCACGATTGGTCGATGAGACCGCACCGCGAATCTCCCGAGAACAGTCGCTTCCACGGCCTCGGAGCGGGCGAGTTGTTGGTCCCCTTGGAAAAAAGCAAAACACGCTCTCTCGTTGCGGCGACGAGTGTAATGGCCACCGTGGGCCTAGGATAGTAGAGCCAGGTGGTTCGTATACTTTGACCGAGAGACTGGCAATCACGGAACGACTTACCGGCCAGTCAAGATCAGTGAATTTAATCCGTGTGTGTCGAACTGTCGCCGCTCTTTCGTTCTGATCGGTGGCTTCTGTCCGGTGAAGAGTGCGTGTATATCAAGTAGTGCATCAGTGTACTTAATGTGTGCCAGCCATTGTCGAGCGTGCATCGTAGTGCCGGTCACACCGAATTCTCGACCTACACTGGATAATATTGGTTGTTCGTTTCGTTTGTTGGATTCTACCCTTTAAACACGCCACGCAGCATCGGTGAGTACAACAGCATTGTGTTAAATGAAACCGTATCGCACCAATGTCGACGACCGCACATAGTACATCGAACATAGAGGAGACTTAACATCTACGGTGCGTGTGTGTATATTATGGTCGTTTTGTTCTTCCCTCGAGATAGCTGCTTTTCTATCGATGCTTTCGTTGTCTCTAGACGCACCCTCGACCTTCATCGTTGTATAAAAACAATCTTGACGCAGTTGTCACTGCTATTATTCGACGATTTACATTGTAAATTATTCGTGGCAATCTGCGGATCGTGTCGACTTGCTTCTGCTGCCTGATCGTTCGCACATGTACGGTCTGTCCTTCCCATGGGGGAAAAGTCCATTTATTGTCATATGCAAGTAGTAATGAGAGTATGCGCGTTGCGAAGCACGATCAATTTCGGAAGATCTACCACCACGCTGCAAAAGATGTCGCACCACCCTTTCCGTGCTAGTTTATTGTTGCTAAATGTCTTCGACCGTTTCTCTACACCGACTCAAAGGGAGTATCCCCTTTTTTCTCTCTTCTATTCGACAACCGCTGCACTCGAAGCATTTAAGCCGCGTAAAACGATGTTAAATGTGAAACTGACTGCCTGAATGGAAATCAAAGCATGTTCATTGATATCTTGGGCTCATTAGTGGCGTATTAAGGTCACTGTTGCCTTTTATCCTCACGGGGCTGTTACGTACCAAGGATGAGTTTGTGGATACTTGTCACATAGAATAGCGTTGAGTTGGAATCAAACGGGAATCGACAGTGATATCGTCGCGACGCCGCCGGTTGTCCGTTCGTTTTCCAACGGAACGTCTCTTCGTTGTTGTTTTTTCGCTGTTTACCGCGGATGGGCGTATTCTTTCGCAAACAAGCGTACTCAACGGTTAATCCCGTTTACTCGGAAAGCATAAACGCGCTCACTAGCCGTAAATGACCTGTTTCGCGGCTTTAATAGGGATCATTCGAGATATCGCGAAATAATGTATCGCGATGGTAACAGGTGCCCCCCTCCATCGTTATTTTCCGTCCTTTTTGCAAAGAAAAGCACGTGCCTTGTGTTCCGTACCAAGCATTATTCGTGTTCGCACCATTATTAAAAGCGTTATTTATTTATACCACTACAACGACAATGCTTCATTTTTCATTTTATTTCTCCTCTTTCTCCTTTATATACGCAGAATGTTTGTAAGTGAAACAAATGATACTCTAAGCGAGTCGTAACGGTAAAATCATCGCAATCCGATCCCCTCTGTGTGTGCATACCTATATATTTCGCCTGTAATGCGCGGCACTCGTAATACCGACTGAAAGTAGAACGTTTGCACGTGTCGCCGTACAAAACGCGTATCATCACCTTTTCACAGTCGGCGAGGGGGGCGAGTTTTGAATCGTACGAACTATCGATTTCGAGCCACGGCGACGGTAATTTTTATCGGGGGACGGTTTTAATTAAATTTTGTCATCGAACTCGTCCGTTTCTCGTTCGTACGTTTAACCCCTCTGCGTCCCCCCTTTCCCCCAAATGGAAAAATATTGTTTCACGTATGTGCCCCGTTGTTAGAAAAAAAAAAAATTGTTTCCACGACGAGTGTGTCGAAGATAGGTTATGGCCGGTGTATTATTGAAAGCTTGTTCCTGTATCGACGAGCCTTTATGAATGTCAAGAGTGAACACTAGTGTGTGTAACACGAAAATAAACTACGTCCTTCGGTCATTCAATACTTTGTAACGATTCTTATTTATACATGTAAACGTGAATCAATTTTCGCTATAGATATTCCAGGCAAAAATAATCCAATTTAGGGGTGGTGGCAAAGTTCAGAAGACAAGGGGTTAATCGGAATTGAGTTTAATGGTAAAGATTGGAAACTTTTAACTACTTCCGTTTTAATTCTATTTCATGATCAAACTGGATGAATTTCAGCTACATTTACACCGACAAAATTCTCCATGAAAAAAAAAAAAAAAACCATAATAAGGAATATAATTTCCTCCTTAATTTCACTTCGTAATTATCCACATCCATTACTTCACTACGAAAATAAGGAAATATTTATTCATACGACGTGCAGACTCATTAGTGTACAATGAATGTAGAATATGAAATAAATTCCAAAGAACCATTGTCTTTGGTTAAGACAAACCCAAATGATATTCATAAAGATAATTTTAGTATATTCCGTGAAAATTTTACCTCCTAGATCCAAGAATGAAGCAATGTAGTATTATAGTGCCTCTCAAAAATATTCGGACTCTTCGTTAATTATAAAAGGATACGGTTGATGCTACTTCGTTGTTTTTTTTTTTTTTAAATTACATGTCGTTAGTTTAATGCATTTTCATATTATGACATCATCATGCAAATTAAACTAATTTTTGTTCAATTACTATGTTACGAAAATATTCAAATACTTAGCAAAAATGAATATTTTCAATGTGCATATTAATAATATTAGGAATATTTTTGTCTGCACCGTGTTTAACCCCTTGACTCGACATTTTTTTATCGGCTACACTGTGCTGTAATGTAATTTTTACGGCAGAACAAAAAAGAAATTAATGATCATACATAAAAAACATTGTAAAATTACTTCAAGTTGTTCAAACAAATTTTGTTTATTAATTATGTAGCGTAAACATATCCCTGTGTCTCTGATAATGTGAAGAAAGAATAGTAAGATGGTGTGCTTAACTCAATTGAAAAAAAAGAAAATTATTTTAATACTGTATCAGGTAATAAGAAAAGCTATTGTACCATAATCTTCAGTCTTATAAATCAACACTAGAGTTTAGAATTCAAATTAATTTTTATTACTAATATAATCGTTTCTGTCACAGTTTGATCGAAATCTGTGTTACGTATCTAACATGTTACGAGGCAAATAATTTTAATGGCTAGTTATTAGTGTCCGATTATTTTTAGGGTGTAACATGTATGTATTGACCAGCACATTGTTTCGAATAAATTATTTTAGAAAATTCAAGGGAGCGTAAATATTAGCCGAAAAGTGGTTAATGAAAAGACTAGCGGCTATCGATCGGTGTGTACGAAGTACTTTGTGTGCCGGGGGATGACGGCACGGCGCTCGAGATGACGCTTGGAATACATTCGACGAGATCCTCTCGTGAAATTCTTTTTGACGTTGATTGCGCGTACCACCTACTCGTCGGCGTGTGAATCGCGTTCGAGACCCGTGACGCTCGAGTTTCCCCCCCTCTCTCTCGCTCTCTCTCTCGTTCTTTTTCGAGTTCTGTCGCACGCTTTCCAGTCCCTTGCGGTCTTTGTTAATCTGCCTGTGATTTATGCATAAGCGCGATTAAAGCAGAAGCCCCTATTGATATGAGCAATAAATCCGGCGATAGAGCTTAGCCCCGGCCACTAATAGTTGAGGATTTCTCGACGGGTAGCTTTGTGGTCAGCCGTTCGTTGTTAAGTCTAGGACTGTTTAGTATACAGATGCACGGCGACTGTTTAGTATATAGTGTAAATCACGTGACCCGTAATAACGCATTACTCGAAGTAGCGCTTAATCCGTGGATGATTTGTGAAGTTCACTGATCTTCTGTTTTAATACTCGAATGGTTATTCTTGTCTAATGGTATAATAAAATGTGTGTGATGATGGAATGGTATATACTTGACTAGTGGATATATGTATTTTCCATTTGGCATGAGAGTGTCATATAGTTGGATGAAGTTTCGATCGTTCGGTCGTTAGGGTGA